GGGAGAGCCGAAGCCCAGACAGGACGCTGCACGAACAGAGGGCCTTACACAAGAGGCCTGCCAAGACCAACCCTAGGCCAAAGCAGAGCAGGGAGAAGGTCAGGAAGGTGATGAACTGGAAAGGGCTGGAATTCCCTTTCCTCGGAGAGTTTTACAGAATGAAGCACCTGCCAAAAAGCAAGATTTTAACCTACGAGGTAAAAAAAAAAGGGTAATTTTCTCTGGATCTGTTGATTGTCTTTAATAGCCGTAAAAAAATTAACAGTCAGTGCTGATAGAACAGGACAAAGATCTTTTTCTTTGAATTGCCAGAATTGTCTCATTGCCCTTATTCATTTGTCACTTTTAGACTGTCAGATGTAACAGAATTCTTCTCAACAGGTTTTTTATGTTGTCTGAACATTGATCAGATACAGAACAGTCCCCTCCCCCCCAGTTTTCTTTATTACACTGTTCTGATGGATAAGTGGATTCATTATTATGATAAAAATTAGATGCAGATCAAAGAGAGACTTAAACAGTTTTCCTACCAGTCATGGTTACATTCTGAGTGATCACCGCCCTTAATATAGAGTATATAATGTATTTTGGTGAATTCATTGTTTATATTTTTGAAGTGATGTTTAGTTTTTTTATCCAAATGTCATTCAAATTGTAATGGGAATGTAAAGGCCAACAATTTATAAAAGAGAGGAGACCAATCTGTCCTAGTTAATCAATTAAGTAGTTAATCTGACAAATCTCAACAAACTCAACAAAACAATTTCTTGAAAGAATCCAGCGTATTGGCTTCAACACCATGGCTGGGCAGCTTGTTCCACGGTCCCACTACCCTTAGTGTAAAGGCCTGACTCCTGTTCTTTGTTTAAAGAGCACTTCTTTGTAGGTTTCGCTTGCACCCTCTGGTTTGTGTTTCACTGTTTATTCGGAAGAAATTATTTGGGAACGGATTTTGGTTTAGGTCACCTCTTAATCTTCTGTGTTCAAGACTAAAAAGGTTCATTTCCTTCAGCCTGTTGGTTTAAGGACATACGAGAGGAGGCCATCTATCTCCTTTGGAAACAGTTAATTAGTTGAAGGATGTTATCCACCCTTTTCCTGAAAGAAGCCAGGGAATCTCTGCATCAGCTTGCCTGTACGATATCCTGACCAATAAGCACAATGACATAAGACCACCTCCCAGGCATTACAAAAAGGGTGTCAAATATCATGATATTTTGACATGTAGTATTATTTTTTCGCTATTATTGAACAGCAAGCGGCACTCGGAGGATTTCTGAAGTGCGTGATAAAAGTCAAGGGTCGGAGGCGTCTCAGCAGTCTGATCAATTCGCCGAGTACAGTCTGGGCCGCGGATGGTTTCAGCGGCCTGGAAGAGAAAAGAGCAATCTCTCCCACGCCGGAGCCAGAGTAAGTCCGTTTTGTGTGAACTGGGGAAAAATGCGGCAAGTGTGATCCCCATGTTTTCTAAGGTATACAGGCTCTGATT